AGACACAAGCTAAAATAAGACACCAAGACACTAGAGCTAGTCACCAAGACACCTTGAAATCACAAAGACACAAGCTAAATTAAGACACCAAGACACTAGAGCTAGTCACCAAGATACCTTGAAATCACAAAGACACAAGCTAAATTAAGACACCAAGACACTAGAGCTAGTCACCAAGACCCCTTGAAATCACAAAGACACAAGCTAAATTAAGACACCAAGGCGCTAGAGCTAGTCACCAAGACACCTTGAAATCACAAAGACACAAGCTAAATTAAGACACCAAGACACTAGAGCTAGTCACCAAGACCCCTTGAAATCACAAAGACACAAGCTATATTAAGACACCAATACACTAGAGCTAGTCACCAAGACCCCTTGAAATCACAGAGACACAAGCTAAATTAAGACACCAAGACACTAGAGCTAGTCACCATGACACCTTGAAATCACAGAGACACAAGCTAAATTAAGACACCAAGACACTAGAGCTAGTCACCAAGACACCTTGGAATTACAGAGACACAAGCTAAATTAAGACACAAAGACAACAGAGCTAGTCACCAATACACCTTGAAGTTACAGAGACACAAGCTAAATTAAGACACCAAGACACTAGAGCTAGCCACCAAGACACCTTGAATTCACAGAGACAAGCTAAATTAAGACACCAAGACACTAGAGCTAGTCATCAAAACACCTTTAGTAATACTCAAGGCGGCGAAGCTAAAGACACTATGACACTATAGCTAGTCTCAAAAGCACTAGGGAACTATAGATCAATGAGCTGAGTGGTCTTACGAATAATATTGTTTCCCGACACAGCCTAAGACATGGCAAGAAAATATATACACGTTCTAGTTTTAGATGAACTCAATAGAAGTCAATTAACACTAATCACTGAAATTCCGCTGAGAGTGATTCGACTCAACTGATGGCAAAGGCTTTGCTTAGGGGTGATCTTGAAGTCTAAAACTCCTAAACAAAGAGTCGAAGAAGAAGAAATATGAAAACATTTCTTCGGATGTAAAAAGAAAATGTTAATGAAATTGTTATTTTTCAAGTTTTTACCCAAAAAAAAGCAAAAGCATAAAGAAAGAGGGGGGGGGGGGGTTGTATAATTATCTACGTCTGCTTCCAAAACTATCTGCAGTGATTTTATCAAAGTATTTACATCAAAACGTACGACTTTTCAGCACTTTATACAACCATTCCTCACGATAAATTAAAGTCCCGGGCTTTTTTGACATTATATTAGACAGCTGCTTTTTCAATAAAAATGGAGCTCGTAAATTTACTTACCTTGTCATTGGTCATTTGCAAAAATATTTTGTTAAAAACATTCTAATATTACACACACCTTTCTCTGAAGTTGATATTAAAAAAGATGCTTGAGTTTGTGATTGACAATATTTATGTAGTTTTTGGAGATCAAGTCTTCCAACAATCTGCCTGAATTTCCATTTGAACTAATTACGCCCCGCTATTAGCAGACCTTTTTTTTGTATTCATATGAAGCAGAATTTATTCAAAAACTTCTACATGCTCTTGCTGTGGCCTTCAATTCAACATTTAGACCGGTATCGACAACGTTTTATCAATTGACAATTTTCATTTTCATTCCTACGTTGATTCGATATATCCTTTTGAATTCAAAATACACCACCGAGTCTGGCATCTTTTCCATATTTGGATATTTTCCCAGAAAAAGATTTTAATGGTAACCAAACAACAAAACTTTATAATAAACGTGATACTTTAACTTTTTTATCATCGACTTTTTTATATATGTAGCAATATATCATTATCACCTGCATATGAAGGTGATGTCTCCCATTTGATCCGATACGCAGGAGCATGTTCTACGTACCTTCAGCCTCTTAAGCGAGGAAAGCTATTGACAAACAAGTTGACGATTCAAGAATATCAACAGTCTCCTTTAAAGTCAACATTTCTAATACTATGGTCGATACAATGACATTGTCAATAAATACAATCTATCGTTAAGTCGAATTTTGACTGATGTTTGCCTGATCATGACAAGGAGAACACGGCGGGTGTGACCGGTACAGGGGATGCTTGCTCCATGGCCGTGGGAACCGGGGGGGGGCACGGGGGGGCCGTGCCCCCCCCCTCCCCCAATAATTTTGCCGATATATAGTTTACCATAGAAAACACAGCTGTTATTTGCTTGTGCCCCCTCAAAAAAAAAAACGTCTGATGACCTTTTTTTTTTTTTTTTTTTTTTGCTTGTAATGTAGCTGTGCCCCCCCCCCCCAAACTGAAGTTGCTTCCTACGGGCCTGTACTCCTCCATGGCACCTGATTTCATCTCTGATGTTTTTAGATGTCCGTGTTTCCTCTGCTCTCAATTGAATTGATTCAATGGACTTTTGAGCTTGATTACTGTTCGTTATCTTCATATTTCATTCCTGCCATGAGAGAGTTATTAACTGTCAGTAACAATTATAAGATGATTATATTATTTGAATTGTTCCTTTAGCAGTAGTAAAAATTCAATTCCAGGCGCTTGTGTGGGATTTCATCTAATGTATACGTATATGTATTTTGATAAAAGAACACCCGGTGACATATATAATCTATAAATTAATGACATGTAATAGCCATAATGTACATCCTGTTTCTTCCCTTTGTTTTCACAGATAACATTCAAATTAAAAAAAAAATGCATAGAAAAACTACTAGTGTGGTTTCGTCATTTTGGGGGTTGAGGTGGGGTGGGTTGAAGTACAATTTTCGACTAGTTGAACCAGACCAAGAAATAAGGGATCAACGCAGTTGTATTTTGCACCAAAACCACGAAATATCATCACCGCGAAAATTAATGAAAACACAGTATTTAATCACGTTTTCTTTTACTCTTCTCTTTTTAGTCATTGTCTTTATCAAAAACTTGCTTATCCGATGATCCGCAGTTGCAACAGAAAACATCGCCCATATCTATGAAAGATACGGTGCACCTCCTGATATGTCAATTCCCAAAATTAAAATCAAAAAAATGAAATGCATGTATTTCCAAAACGTGACAATTTATTAGTGCTTTCATGGTGTCAAGAATGTGTTGTTTTATCAAATATTCTTTTGTAATTGTTTTCTTACACAGGACATCAATTCAGGGAATAGGTGTGTGAATACTGGTATTGAATGTAGGCATCAATTAGTCCCTGGATATACGAACATCCCAACATCCTGATCATATATAGTGTTGTATCACAGCAAATATCGGATGCATTTGGTGTCCTGGAACTTGGAAACGGTGTTTAAATTTGAAATGTTTCTAGTGACATAAGGCTAAACAAGTTATTTGGTGGAAACACGTAAGAGGAGTGTGTTCTGCCCCCCCCCCCCCCCCCCCCAAACACACCTTTCAAAATTCTGAATCCGCCCCTGGTGAACGACTATCATGCTGTACATTTTGAATTTAATTACTAAGTTGAGGTAAAATGCATTTACAAGATAGCTTCCACCCCCCCCCCCCTTTGACGTGTAGATTGCCGTGTTTCGATATAAAAACAAAAAACAAAAACAAAAAAAATTGGAACATGTTACTAAGTCTGATAGTAAACTGTTGTTATTTTGTCTTTGCTCTTTGGCTATAATTAAATTTACTGAACTCGTTCTTAGATTTCTAATTTAAGTATATACATTTTCTGGGAATCTGCAATACATTTATTCCGGCAAAAATTTAATGAATGTTTAAAAAACATCCTTTAGTTTGAACTTATAAAGAATATATCGTGAAAGGAAATGATTGAGTACTATTTGCAGGGTGCATATATTTCTAGTATTCTTAAGGTTTAGCATCCGTCTGCTCGCTGATATAAAATCTTTCCATATAATGCTCTATGATTATCCAAAAGAAATCGAATTAAAATATACATACATGTCTTTTCAGCATACCTTGCATGGCGAAATTTGACAGTTCTAAATTGCCCGTTATCTTGACAATTTTAGGATATATAAAGAAATAATATAGCCATGTATAGAGTTATCTCGCTTATCAGAATATCAAAGAACTGAAACATTTTTTTCTCGCATGATCAACTGATTTTTCATTTAATGGCAAAAATGTTCAATCCATATTTAATTCTAAAAACATGAAAGTTTTTTTTTTTAATTTTTCTGTGCTAGAGGAGCTATGAAGTTAATAAATAAGACTGCTTTTTTTCTTTCTCGGTTTACAGGTCACAGATAAATGTCTACAAGTTTTCCTAAAACATCTGTTAAAGATACGCTGTTGCAATTGAAAAATCTCACTAGCTAAGTGTGCTACCCACAAACCCTTTAAGTAAAAGTGGACTTGGCTAGCGAAGATGCTGAAATTAATTAATTTCAAAAATTTAAATCAAGAGAGTACACTGTATATACCCGTTAGTCCCTGTTAAAATGGAATCGATCTTCGAGATGTCAGTATAGTAATTAACTTACACCTGAAGAATGTCTCAGATCCTAAAGGGTGCAATTAATTTTTCCCCCTCTCTCTCTCTCAGTTGTAGGTAACATAATGAATTGATTTTCTCTCTGTAATATGAGTGTATACTATTAATTTTAAAGTTATAATGCTATAAGTTCGATCATGCAGGTGTTACTGAAATTCTCTTTTAATAATTATTTTCTTTTACTGTATATATTTAAGTTTCTCCAATTTCCAAGATATCCAAAGCATAATTAATCAGCCGAGGACGAGTATAACATGTTAAATATCGTGTAGCTTGTATTTTTGTCAGATATGACAGGAATTTTATAAGCAGGTCATATCCCACCTGTCACACCCATTCAAAATGTTCAGGGAGTGGTAATTTACGCGTCATTTATTAATTCGACATCATTTTAAAAAGCGTACGATTTTGTTTATTTATTTTGATTAAAAAACTATAAAGATAGGTCAGGAAGAACACAAGTACAAGAATAAGATGAAATATAATATTTCAAACAAAGGAAACGTAGAAAACTAATGACTTCTCCCTTTATCACGTGACAATTATTTCGAGTAATCCGCCATCTTTAATGGTAAATACGCATCTCATCGTTTCCTGTGTGACTTCCTTGGATGTTTAACTCATTTCCCGCGCACCTTGCACGTCGCCCCTTCACTCTGCACGAGTTCCACCTTTCCTCTGTCTTCTAGATTTAGAAGCAGGTGCTTTGCAAGCCCAGGCTGCGAGGAAAAACCCTCGGAAACACCATGCCGGTCCGAAAACAAGGTCGGTGTTGTCATTGCGATGTTGTTTACAGACTACAAGTGCTAAACCTTGTAGTCACTGGGATAAACAAAGAGCACGTGCTGTTACAAGCTAATGTAAATAACTTGATCGTTATGTATAATGTATATAGTATTGAATATGAGGCTGAACTGTCTTGGTCACTGTTGACTCACGATATGTTTATAATAAACATGACACTCAGGTATTAGATGCAGATGAGCCTGTCTTGTAGTTGTTCATGGTATCACTAATTGTTTAAAATGACGGAAGTATTGTGTTTTCTAGACATCCTCATTTTTTAAGGGTGGGGATACTGGAAAGGGGGGATACAATTTTATGATTGAATGATACATAGTGCACAATTTATTGTTAACATCCGATTTAATATTTCTTAGTTATCAACATGAAATGGGTAATTTTTTTTTTATTGTAAAGTAACTATTTAATATGTAGTACATTTAAGAAATGAATTTAATTTTTGAAGATTCATGAGGACATGAACTACGACGCTTCACGCCGGCATATTTCATGAAGCGCGTTAGCGCTTCATTATAAATATGCCGGCGTGAAGCGTCGTAGTTCATGTACCTCATGAATTTTCACAAATTAAATTCATTTTTTATATTTACATTATTTTTCTGATGATTTGCAACAATTAACGCCATTCCTTTGTCATTTTTAAAGCAAAACAGTTTGCACTATAGTTTTGACGTCACGTGCGGTATTATGACATAACAATGGAGATATTCATGCCCATTCATGGTAGTTCATGAGAAAATGAACTGTACTCTATTTTGTAAAGAATCATAGGGGAATTTTATTGGAAATGTAAATATAAGGCCACGCCAATTTGTAAAATAGTTCTTCGGATTTTCAAAAATAAAAAGTGAGGCGAGCGAGCGAAATAATTTTACAAATATTATTTTTCATTTCGGGTTTCAAAATTATGAGGCGAGCAAATATAATTAATATAGGTGGCAAAATTTTCTATGTTCTCCTCTTTTTCCTATTATTTTTTCTGGGAGAGAAAACGTTTTCTATGTACTCATAAGATGTGAAAACGCGTCTTTCTTTTGTTTCTCGTAACATTGCAATTTAGACGTAGTTTCATTTCTACAAATTTTCTGTTTAATTCTTTGCAAATTGTTAAGGTCATGTCAGGTTTCAAAATCACAATTGCATCGCTTCTTGAATTTTCTTTAATTTTTATTGAACAAATACGGTCAGTATTTACTTAACCTTGTGTGTATTTTTCATATGTTGATGATATTCTCTTTATTGTTTCATCAAACAAAGCTTCAAATGTCTCCTATGCTTCCATTTCTATTGCTGTGTATGGAACTACTTTGTACCCATTGTTTTTAACTATAGTACACAGGGGTGTGCAATAAAAAAAATCAAGTAAGTCAATCAAAGTTACTAGCCCCAAGTAAAAAGTTACTAGCCCAAACAGAGGGGCAAAAATTAAAATAAATACTTATTAATGTTGAGAAGAAATTAATTGCTGAAAAAGTCAGGGTACTGAGGTCATTCTTTTTAAAATTAAAGTTAAAAGTTCTCACTATCAATTTAAATCATGTATAAATTATTATGAAAGAAAATTAAAATGAATTTAAATAAATTATCTTTCCTTTTTCTGATCATTGCACTAGCTCATTTAGAATGAAATTAAATTCATTTTGTTTTCATCTTAAATCATTGAATACACTAGAAATATATTTTATGTAAGTCACAAAACACTTATTTTTCAGTTGATTGAGTGATCGTAAATAATTTAATGAGATATCTGCATGTATTTACCATGAATGGAGGAATAGAGGAAATTCGGATTAGGAAAAAACGATCATTTTTGGAAGATAGAACTGTAAAACAGATAAGATTATGGAGATTTATTGACAGTCGGAGCATGTTGTCTGGAAAATTTTAACTGGTTGGGAATTTTATAGCAAAAAAAAAAATGAGTGAAAATACCGATTGTGCTTGTCATGTATTGCGTGTGTAGTTAATTTTTTTACTAGCCCGACGGGCTTCCTTCTTGCAGAAAACCACTAGCCCGACCCGCAAAAATGGTAGCCCCGGGCGTCGGGAGATGCTAAATGCTCACTCCTGGTACATACGAACAGTTACACAGGCATCGTGCAAAACTTCACAAACTGTTACAAACATTCTAAATCCCGCGCTTCTGTCAAACAACTTTCCAAGTCTTTTGTGCGTTTTGTGTAAAAAGTCGAGAAAAAAAAATTGTATACGGATATTTTTGGACGCGCGCGCAGATTTTTTTTTATAATATTATAATTTGGATTTGTTGTAAATAGAAGCGGCGAATACGACGAACTATATTAGAAATTGGTATGGCCTAAGGTTTTATTTTTAGATGTATCGTCCAATTTGAATGCAGTGAGAGACTTGAATAATGTATTTGATGTAACTACTGAATTCAGACAAGTGCAAGAGCTTTTATACATTATGTTATTATGTGGAAGCTATTCAAAATTTAATTATTTTGATTGACATGTATTTAGAAAATTAATTTTGCATTAAAGAAAGAATTTAGATGTGTGCAAAATCTTGTTCAGAATGCATATATGTCTGTGATATCTAATTCATCATCTCCAAAGGAAATGAGTTTTAAACAAAGTTAAAAAGGTTTTATTTATTTAACTTAATTTTAGAAATAATATCAATTTGGATTGTACGGAAATACATTAAGGTAGTATTCTACAATTATTTGATGAATTTTCAAGGTTACATGTACAGTAGACATGGTAGAAGATGTTCCTCAATTTTTCTTTTAATGTCAGTGTACACAATACTACACATTGTCATAAAAACATGTTTTTTAGATAGATGACTGTTTGTGCTTCTGTATTATGACCTTGACAGGTTTACTTGTTCTTAGCCATACATATATTCAAGTCTATAACAGCAGTCAGTGCAGAACACAAGAGTCCTTTGATAGGACATTCACATGTGACCCTAATGCACACATGGGACCAGACCAATTACTTCAGACTGAGAAAACAAGAGAATGCAACTATTTTTAACCTTTATCTTGCTTATAAGACATTAATTTGTCAAAACTTTATTATTCTGACCAATTTAGTTGGCTTGTAAACAGAAACATGGGCCCGTTTCCATCAAGTTAGTCAGTACCAGTAGGGCGATATATTTTAAAAATACTGAAATACGATAGCATTTGTAATAATTAGTTGTAAGAAAAATTCTTTGGTCCCGTCTAAAATTCTGAATGTTGAATACACTGTTCTTCCTATGGATTACACTCTTGTCTCTGCTTCAGGTGCAGCACAGATATATGTATGGTATGAGCCGGAAATCAAGTATACCTATTGTTATTTTTGGTACTTATTTTGTAGATGCTCATCGGGCCCTGGAGCTGTTGGAGGATTACCACTCCAGACTAACACAGACACAGGACAAGCAGCTTAAAATAGCCATAGAGAGGGTCATCAGGATCTTCAAGAGCAAGCTTTTCCAGGCATTACTGGGTAAGACTTTCAAAATGTGACTGACTTAAGGACACTTCATATCAGCCATGATTGATGCCTCCAAATAGACACAGCTGAGGCATAGCAGTATGTAAATTTGTTTCGATCACTTCTGTGTTTGTTTATATAGGATAATCAGTTTGCTGGAGCTGCAGTCTTAATTTAGACTGGGTACCAATCAGATTTATTCAGGTCTTTAGTGTGCAATTATTGTAATTCATGATGATATTTTTGACAATAACATGTTACATGTATGAGTAGTCACAGATTTCATAGTTGGAAAGATATTTATTTGGTTCTGAGGTGTGGAAAAGTTTTAGCCAACTTTTAAAAGCATATTGATCTAGATAAATTGCATATTGCATATCCCACATTTTGTTGAGGGAGAAACAAATTGATCATCAGATTTTTAGAGATCCTGTATCGTGTACTAGGAGATATGGAGTGAACATCATTCGACAAAGTGGTCTAAGTGATTGCTTGATGCTGATCTAAATTCATATGCATTTTATTTTATTAAAGCTACATATATATATATTAGCAACTACAAAGATTTATTGAAAGGTATTGAGCTATTGTTGGTGAAGTAGTCACCAATATATATAAGACAGGTGTCATTGTTAAATCCAAAACAGTTTAAAGAGGCCATGAGGAGAGAAAAAAAATACATCATATGCTCTAACATTTCCTAATTTAGTCAGGATGATACTTTAAAGATACTGGTAAAAATTTCAGATTGTAAACTTTATCAAAGTATGTTTTGGGGTGTAAACATTTTGCAATTATTTTTTTAGATTTTGATTATAGATTATAGAATTTAGATCAGCATCATTGATTATAGATAATTTGAAATGGTCCACTGTAGCATAGATTAGAACCAAGAGTGTTCTAATACAATTAAACTGAGCAGGCTGCAGATATTACAGTGAAACTTGTCTAATCCGGATTCTGTGTATTCCAAAATCTTGCCTAATCCGATAAAAACTTTAAATCCTTTCAGTAAATTCAATTGTTCAGTAAATTCAATTGTTTTATAATTTGTCTGATCCGGAATGTTGTTTTATGCGGAACCATTGGTGTCTGGATTAGACATGTTTTACTGTAGTAAAATCCTTAAATATGTGTATCCAAAGCTAAATACGATGAATATAGCTATATTTCTGAAGCTTTATAATTCTTGACAATGAAAAAAGCAACGCAAAATGAGACAAAAGGTTTGTGATTACTTGATGTAGTATGATAGATATATATGATCATGATGATGTATTGATTAAAGGTTAAATTTCAGGGATTGTTGTATTTTGTGTTAATCAGGTGACAGATTCTGAATTTTTTTTTTTGAACATAGAATGTAATGGTACACATTAGTTTGCCTAAATCTATGCCTCAAATCCAGAAATTTTGGAAGGATTTCCTGAAAATTGCCCTTCTAAACTGAATGAAATTTAGCAAAAGTTTTTATTCATATTAGAATTGTTGTTTATTGCATGTACAATTTATCATTTGTTTTTGAGTACAAGAAGACTGTATCTTGAATGTTTTAAGTTTACTGAGGTATCAGTAGATCGTTAAATGTTAACTCAATGTCATACTGAAGGTCATGGCAACTGTGTCACTTTGTTGAGAGTGCACTCAACCATGGATATTATTTAATGAATCTAGGTTGTATGTATATCTCATATGTTCCCTTGGTACATTTTTTACCCATAATCTAGCAAGGCTTTGTATCCAGCTAGAGAGGGATATATGTTTGAAGCTCTGGGATTTTAATATTAAATCTCAGTTTACATGGTGGAAAGATACTAGATGTAAATGCAAGGAGGAAAAAAAAAATATTCTGATTTATGAAATGCAGCATTGTTTGGTTGTTAAGAATAATAGCCCTGTAGTTTAAGTAGTACATCAAATAATATATCAAAAACGGGAAACAAAACATTAAACACTTGCCAGGCCAATCAATATTGCTATAGATTATAGAAATGTTAATGGACATATGATCTTAGACAGTCAACAGTAGCTATATGTGAGGGACAACTCTTACATCTCCCACATTGTTAATGATGTACTGTGTGAATACTTTGTCCTATTTTACCTGTCCTTTTACCTTTGTTTACCTGTAGGGTTGACCTGAGGCGACCTACATAAGTGCCTGGACACTCAGATAAATAGTATTTGTTCAGTTCAGAATATAAATTTTCCCAGGCCGTAAATCCTGTCAGTTTAAATTGCTTCACTGAGTGACTCAGGAACTGTGTGTTGTCTCAGTGTTTGCCCTGGTCATATGTATTTGTTTTTTCTAATATTTATCAAGTAATGACTTGAACATAGGTTGTAGAATTTGCAGGACATTCATATGTCAACTAAATGAGTAATGCGTATTTAGAAATACAAAGTATGTACATGATTCATCTGAGGTTTAGTAAAAAAAAAAGTTTTTGATCAGCAAGAAAATCCTATACAAGGTGTTCATAAAAAATATTAAAATTGTTTAAATTTTCAAACACATTATCATAGCCAAGATATGTATACATAGACTTACAAATATATTTTACTAAGATGATAGTCATTAATAGAAGACTATTTTCTGTACATCTAGAATTATTATCTTTTAGTGCAGTATTACTTTATATTTTCATTTGTATTTTACAGACATTCAAGAATTTTATGAGTGCACCCTCTTAGATGACAGTAAATCTACACAACAGAAGACATTGGAGACCTTACAGATAGCCAGTAAGTGGGAGAGAGAACCACCCATCACCAGTGTAGTCCAACCAAAAATAGAGGTAAAATATAAAGTGGTTATTTCACAAAGCAGGAAGCATCAGCTGTGTTTTCCAGCAGATTGATGTATAATTTTTTGCCTTTGACAAGGATGTGACTGTAGCTGGATAATTTTTGAAATCATCAAAGATAGATTGATTTATGTACATTTTTAGCTCACCTGAGCTGAAGGCTCAAGTGAGCTTTTCTGATCGAAATTTGTCTGTAGTCGTTGTCATAAACTTTTGACATTTTCATCTTCTTCTCAAGAACCACGAGGCCAATTTCAACCAAACTTGTCACAAAGTATCTTTCGATAAAGGGGATTCAAGTTTGTTAAATGAAGAGCCACACCTTCTTCCAAAGGGAGATAATTATGAATTCGCCAAAAATTAATGGCATGGTTTAAAAATCTTCTCCTCAAGAACCACTGTGCTTGAAAATATGAAACTTATGTGGAATCATTGTGAAGTAGTGTAGATTCATATTTGTTTAAATCATGACCCTGGGGAGTAGGGTGGGGCCACAGTGGCGATCAAAGTTTTCACAGGAATACATAGAGAAAATCTTTTAAAATCTTCTTCTCAAGAACAGCAAAGCCATGATTGGTCATATTTATATGAAAGCATTTTAGGTAGTGTAGATTCAAAGAACTATATACGGTAAGGGCGTATTCCTGCCCCCATAATAGTCAACTTTTGAAAATCTCTTGAAATGAGAAAAAGTGCATATATTGTATAAAATAATCCAAATTAAGACAAAATATTATGAAATTGGAAAAATTAGTTGGCTTTTCTTGTCTCTGTGACGTCACAAACTATTTGGATTTCCGTTATTTTTAAAATAGAGGCCAAAATGCACAGAGTTTGTTCAGTTTTGACTATAGTATTTATAGAGCGCAAGCTTGCTCAGGTACCATATTCACGTATTTCATTGACATTATCATTCTACACATTATATCAAAAGATCTAGTCTGAGCAGACCTGCGCTCGATAATTTCCAAACAAAATACCGACGTAAAATACACTATTTTCTCTCAAAATCATTGCAATTTGGAATTTACGTCATTTTATTGACGTCATATCTAACTAATGATGTCATAGTTGATAAAAATATTTAATGCTTTGAAGTCTGCAAATATCCACCTGGTTTAGAACATAATTAAAGATTTCTTCATCAAAGTTTTATTTTGGGGGCAGTTACTGGCCACTACAGAATATAGTCCTTTGTTAAAATCATGACCCCAAGGGTAAGGTGGGCCACAATGGATGATCAAAGTTTTACATAGGAATACATAGGAAAAATTCTTTAGAAATCTTTTCAAGAACAGCAAAGCCATGATTAGTCATAGGAATACATAGGAAAAATTCTTTAAAAATCTTCTTCTCAAGAGCAGCAAAGCTATGATTGGTCATAATAATATAAAAGCATCCTCAGATAATGAAGATTCAAATTTGTTCAAATCATGACCCCCCAGGAGAAAAGAGGGGCCATAACAGGGGATCCTTGTTATATAGGGCTGTCACGAGTACCCGAAATAACCGAGAACCGCGGTCCAAGTTGTTCGGTTCGGTTCCGGTTCCATTTTTCTGGATTTCGGTTCGGGTCTGGTTTATATATTAGAGTCTGTTCAATACAAAAAATGGCGTCGAAATCAAAGGAAGGATGACGATAACAGTGATAAATAAACATCACATCTGAAATCTACTTCATTCCATGACAAAACACTTGTCACGGAAGTATTAGATAATTATCAAAACGAACAGGAATGGTCAGGTTGTGGCTAATAGTGGGCCAAGTCACTGATGTCTAGACGTTCACATGGTTAAGACTTGTTTCCAATGTAAATTTAATGTAACAAATAAAGATTTTTCAAGTTAAATTCAAGAAATTGAGGTTTAAAATAGATGTAAATACCCGACCCGAAAAACCCGAAACCGAACCGAAAATTTACAGAACTGACCCGACCTGAAAAATCTTGGAACCGTGACAGCCCTATTGTTATACAAAGGAATATAAAGGATATATCAACAAATTTTTTTTTCTTAAGAACAACAAAGTCATTATGTTAATTCAAAAGCATCCATAGGAAGTGTAGATTCAAGTTTGTGCAAATCATCCCCCCACCCAAATATCTTTTATATTTAAACTTTTCAATGCTGAACTGATTTCTGCTTTTTTCTAGCCAAAGTGCTCAGGTGAGCAATGTGACCCCTGGGCCTCTTGTTTAATTTTGTTACTATTGACTAAAAGATGACTGCACCTGGATAAATTTTGAAATCATCAAAGATACAAAATAATATCAGTGTCAGGGAACATATATGCATTAAACAGATTGAACAAGAGTAATATTTAGATTGCTCTTCTCTTGTTTTGTAGAAGTCTTGAATCATCAAAGATACAAAATAATATCAGTGTCAGGGAACATATATGCATTAAGCAGATTGAACAAGAGTAATATTTAGATTGCTCTTCTCTTGTTTTGTAGAAGTCTGTTGCACCAGTGGATGAAGAGTTGCCTCCCCCTCCCCCGGAACTCAGAAATGACACCAACAACAAACCTCACGTCATTGGTCCATATGAAGATAATTTACCTCCTCCAGTAAGCTATACAAGTCTAAGATAGCCCCCCTCCCCCTGTAAATCTTGTCATTGGTCCATATGAAGATAATTTACCTCTTCCAGTAAGCTATACAAGTCTAAGATAGCCCCCCCTCCCCCCCCCCCCCCCCGTAAATCTTGTCATTGGTCCACATAAAGATAATTTACCTCCTCCAGTAAGCTATACAAGTCTAAGATAGCCCCCCCTCCCCCCCCCCCCCCCTGTAAATCTTGTCATTTGTCCATATGAAGATAATTTACCTCCTCCAGTAAGTTATACAAGTCTGAGTTAGTTCTCCTCCCTCTGTAAATCTTGTCATTGGTCCATATGAAGATAATTTATATTCTCCAGTAAGTTATACAAGTCTCGGATAGTTCCCCTCCCACCATAAATCATACCACTGGTAAGTTATACAAGTCTGAGTTAGTTCCCCTCTCTCTGTAAATCTTGTCATTGGTCCATGTGAAGATAATTTATATTCTCCCGTAAGTTATACAAGTCTGAGTTAGTTCCCCTCTCTCTTAAATCTTGTCATTGGTCCATATGAAAATAATTTACATTCTTCAGTAAGTTATATAAGTCTCAGATAGTTCCCCTCCCGGTGTAAGTCTTGAAAATGATGCAGATAAATTTACTTCCAAAAAATAATTATCATATAAGTCCACCTTCGAGTTTTAAAGATGACACATGTGATTTACCTTGTCTTGCAAGTTTTTAGCTCACCTGAGCCGAAGGCTCAAGTGAGCTTTTCTGATCACATTTTGTCTGTAGTCCGTCTGTCTGTCCGTCTGTCCGTCCGTCTGTAAACTTTTCACATTTTCAACTTCTTCTCAAGAACCACTGGGCCAATTTCAACCAAACTTGCCACAAAGTATCCTTGGGTGAAGGGGATTCAAATTTGTTCAAATGAAGGGCCACGCCTTCTTTCAAGGGGAGATAATAAAGAATTAGTGAAAAATTAATAGCATCTTTTAAAAATCTTCTTCTCAAGAACCACAAAGCCAGGGAAGACGAAACTCATGTGGAAGCATCCTCAGGTAGTGTAGATTTAAATTTGTTCAAATCATGACCCCTGGGGGTAGGGCGGGGCCACAATGGAGGATCAAAGTTTAACATAGAAATATATAGGAAAAACCTTTAAAAATCTTCTTCTCAAGAACAGCAAGGCCCTAATTGGTCATATTTATATGGAAGCATCTTCAGGTAGTGTAGATTCAAGTTTGTCCAAATCATGACCCCCGGGGATAGGGCGGGGCCACAATGGGCAATCAAAGTTTTACATAGAAATATATAGGAAAAACCTTTAAAAATCTTCTTCTCAAGAACAGCAAAGCCCTAATTGGTCATATTATATGGAAGCATCCTTAGGTAGTGTAGATTCAAATTTGTCCAAATCATGACCCCCGGGGATAAGGCGGGGGGCCACAATGGGCAATCAAAGTTTTACATAGAATAGGAAAATTTACCTTTAAAAATCTTCTTATCAAGAACAGCAAAGCCATGATGAGTCATATTTATTTGGAAGCATCCTCATGTAGTGTAGAGTCAAGTTTGTTCAAATCATGACCCCCGGGGGTAGGGCGGGGCCACAATGGAGGATCAAATTTGTACATAGAAATATATAGGAAAAATCTTTAAAAATCTTCTACTCAGGAACAGAAAAGCCCTGCTTGCTCATATTTATCTGGAAATATCCTCAGGTAGTGTAGATTTGAATTTGTTTAAATCATGACCCCCTGGGGTAGGGCGGGGCCACAATGGAGAATCAATGTTTGAAATAGAAATATATACAGGAAGGTATCTTCTGATGAAGAACTGCAAAGCCATGATTAGTCATTTTGATATGGAAGCATCCTCAGGTAGTGTAGATTCAAGTTTGTTAAAATGATGACCCCGGGGGATAGGGATGGGCAACAATGGGGGATCAAAAATTTTACATAGGAACATATTGGAAAATATCTTCTTCTCATGAAATGAAAATCATGTTTAGTCATTTTGATATGGAAGAATCCTCAGGTAGTGTAAATTCAATTTTTGTTCAAATGATAACCCCCAGGGTAGGGTGGGGCCCAATGGGGATCGAAAGTTTTATATAAGAAAAGATAGAAAAAATAACAGAAAAGTTATGTTTGTCATATTGATGTGGAAGAATCCTCGGGTAGTGTAGATTCAAGTTTTCAAATGATGACCTCTGGGATAGGGAGGAGGCACAATGGGGGATCAAATTTTTACAAAGGAATATATGGGAAAAAAATTTTAAAATCTTCTCAAGTACAACAAAGCCATTTGTTATATTGACATGGAAGCATCAATAGGTAGTTTATAATTCCTCCCCCCCCCCCCCCCCCCCCCCCCCCCCGGTAATCTTTTCAATACTGAACTGATTTGTGTCTAGCCAATGTGCTCAGGTGAGCGATGTGGCCCATGGGCCTCTTGTTAGTTAATAACGTCTATAAGTGTCATATATTCTTTCATCTTAAAGGGGCTTGGACAAAGATTTGAAGTTAATATTTTCTAAAATTATCAGTATAATATCATGACTTATATGTTGCCAGAGCATTTCATGCCAAAATATAATAAAGCATGTTAAGAAATTTCTTTTATGTGGAAATTATTAAAATTACGAATTTTCGGGTCATGTTTGATTGACACATATCCTTGTACTTTCACTAAGTAAACTTTGTCCCCAATGCTTGAGAAAAGTAGAAATTTTGTTGTGTATTGATGAAAAATATGAAAACTATAATCCAGAAAATTCAGAGTAGAAATGCGAGAAAGCAAAACCAAGTCACCAGTATTGTCAGTCCGTGCTCAATGATGTGTGCAGACTAAACAAATTGAACACACCTGGTCAAATGTAAACATTAACAATAACAGAGCTCGTGCCATGTTTACAAACACAGATGTTTGATGTGATGTTTAGAAGAATGAATTCTAAGAATATTCAATTAAACTGAAGTTATTTTTAATAAAGGTAGAAATTTAAAATAGTAAAAAAAAAAAGCAACTCTGTCCAGGCCCCTTTAAGACATGAATGATTTGCTTTCATTTTCAAACATTAGTTTGGCAAATACAGCTGTAAGCCCCCCCCCCCCCTTTACAACCCCCCCCCCCAATCCCCCGATGTCTGTGTATTCTTGTTTACATATAGAACCATACTGTAGAATCAGAGTATGGAGAGGGGAGATCAGACTGTAAACATTTAGGTAAATCAGTATTGAAGTCTATACAAAAAATTATACAATACTTTTGGTCATTTTTTGTATTAGACAATCTTTGAATTTTTATTTAGGGTATTCAATGTATAACGACCATATTTTGTACCTAAAAAAGAATGGTCCAATATTTTGAATCATGGTAGCATTTTGAAGGTGTTATCAAATAAAAATACTCCACCAAAGGAATTTATAAAATTTTGATTATTGTCCAATTAATTGCACTGTGAATTTTACATTGAAGTCTATGGGCGGCATATGTATAATTAAGACATTATAAAAAGTAATTTGAACTTCATACTAATCTCTTGGTGAAAATATGCATAAACTCTCTATTAAAATATGAAATACAATGAATCCTTTGTCAAAATTTTCTTCTTTTCATCAAGGGCAGATAACTCTTTAAAAAAGTTTAAGATGCAAAATGAACGGCTTCTTACGTGTTATCAGTCATGTGAATTTGGTTCATTTCACTTTCATCATTATTTAGCAATGGATATTTAACTAGTTTAAAATGATTCAAAATTATTCAATGTCCCTTCATTATACATTGAATACCTTAAGCATGTTGAGCAATTTTCATCTGTTTTTGTGGTATCCATAATGAATTGTCCCCCTTTTAAGTCTTCTATTCAAGCAGAAGCCAAGGCATCATTTGGTAGGAGTGAAGAGGGGAGTGTTTAAGTCAGAATTAAGTGTAATTACATATTATAGAGAGACAGACATGCTAGATAATTGATCAAAGCCTCAACCAGATCATTGATTTTGTAATTAACATCCATCTTAGGGGACAAGTGTTTGTCTCCGTATCAGAACCCTGAACTTGTCCCTTAATGAATATACAGTCTAATACTTAAGTTCAGTTTTAAAATTAGAAGATCAATGTCTTTAAAATGAATCTTATTTATTTCAGTGGCTAAATTTTGAACAGAGTGATGTTTTTTTTCTCATTTAATGGATGTCCACAGCTGCAATTAGAGCAATGATTCAAGAAGATAAAATTCTTTGATGAATAAGTATGTAGTACCAGAAATAAAATTCAGCACAAACAGCTTAATGTGATGGAACTGATCAGAAACACAACTCACACCTCATATCATTGTGGTCAGGAACACTTTTAACAATTCATTAAGCTTGTATACAAGACTCCATTAGTGTAAAAAGACTTCTTCCAATCTAGCCGTAATGGCTACAAATGTCAGATTCAGATTGTGTTCCCACGGACAATAACTATTGATTAAGAGAGGGAAATAAAGACATTACATTCCTCACCCTCTCCAGCTTGGGGAAACTCTTGCCCTCCCCAACACTTAGACATTTACTGTCCACTACTTTATGGAGGATCTCGCTATTTTTTTCCTTTCCAGAAGCTTGATTGTATTGTTTAAGCTTACAGAGTACATGCTCCTCAGAAATTTTTAGGCAACTTCTTCATATATGGGATGTACATGTATGTTCAGTACAGATAGCACCCCAGGGTTTTACTGAATACAGCCTGCATCTACAATTATTCTGTGGTGTAAATTGGTACATCTTGATCTTGAACCATGTACTAGTCATTTTAAGACATTTACTTGGCATATGATTAATATGAATAAAATGGGTAGTTACTGCTGGTATTCAGTGATTCTCTAATGCATTTGTTTCGTAAAGTTTTAGAATTTATGCTTTGTCAGAAGGTATACGTTATCCTTAAGTAAGTAAGGAATACTGTATATATATTTACAAGTTTTTGTATATGAAATTCTAAGTTAAAAATTAAAGATCGAGTGGTAAATTGCTTTATAGAAAAATTAATTGACAATACATTAATTAGGCCCAGGAAAGGATTTTCAGGTACACTATAGTAATCACTGTGGTGTTTGTTTTTTCTCCAATATCTCTTCTCATGATAATGTTCAGATTTGGTATGTTGATTTAACTGCTTTAACATGCAGTTATAGACATATTATGATACCAGTGTTAATTCTATGTTATCTGGATTGGGGCTTGTAGGGTGGGGGTAGATTTCTTAGCTCGATAAGAAAGAAAGGACAAAGAGAAATAACTTCTGAAAAAATTTCCTATTACAAAATTAGTAGATAAGTATCATAACTCTAATGAATCCTATGGGATTAATTATCTTACCTTCTGACAAAGATCCAGAGCCTAATCTTTATGTATGGAGATTAACACCTCTCTCTGCAAGTGATGTTTGATTAGAGAGTTGAAGGCTGGCATTTTATAAATGCACACCTAATTTTGGTTGGAGTGAACATTTAATTGAATTATAATTTTAAGGAATTGGGCAAAAGATATAAAGATAGATATCTTTTATTACTGACCTACCTTATATACTCACATATAAGTCAGTCTGCCTATAAGTTGGTTGATTTTTTTTAAGCTTATATTAGAGGGCTTGGCCCTCTAAAATACCAATCTTTTTATAACTCCCCTATAAGTCAGACAAAGAGTTTTGGACCAAAGTTTAACTCCCCCCCAAAAAACGACCTAGAGGCGAGTATATACGGTAGTTGAAGGGTACTGTTAAGTTTATGATGTACCTGGTAGTTGGATAAGAACACCACTTTATTTTCTGTAAGATAGGAAATATCTTCGTATTTCATAATTACAACACTTGTTTCACATTTTTCTTCTTTTTTGACTTTAAAAAAAAAAAATTATCGAAGTTACTCACTGTCCAACCACACTCTGAGATTTATATCTCTAAGAGGGGCCCTTATTGCAATGGCAGTATGGTCTGGTCATGGATATTTAAGTAAAAAACGTAGCCGGTTTGATTACATTTGACTGGGGTAACAGATGATAAATGCCATTTTTTATTGTTGATTTTATCACTGAAGATACTTTGCCTTGTTTTTTTGGAAATATTTGTGTAGGAGTTCTTAATGCACTCTCTGAACATACTGAATGACTAAAGATATGCTGCAAAGCTCTCTCAACATACCCTTTAATTAACTACTAACAAGATTACTTTCTTGTGACAGTGGTGTCAGATTCTCCATTATTGTTCATTTTTTCTCCATTAAAAGTTTTTGGTTTTGAAATATAAATGGGTTGTACAACTTCAATTTTCTCAAGGGAACGTGTTAATAATCTGTTGATAGTAGCAAGCGATAGACAAATGAAGAACTTCTAAAAGTTAGCAACCTCTCCTAACATTGTCATTGCCAGTATGACAAGTTTTGCTGTGAATTCACCGTTGTTTACGTGATGGGCCTCCCCATGGTTCTGACCCCTCAGAGGTCAGTGGCAGTCGATTGGATTAGTGTATGGTGGTTACCATGGTAACAAACATGCATTATGGCTTAATAAAACATGAAGTGTTCTTATCGAAATTGTCAGGATTTATTTAATTAATATAGCTGATACCATAGATGAAATTTTTATTTTAAAGAAGAAAATCAATGTTGGTAGGAAATTTTGTCTGTTGGTCTAGAATAACCTTCTTTGGCCATCAGTAAGACTGGGATGACAATTGGTTATTGTACATGACATCTGACAATCATTTATCTAATAAAACAAGGGAAGATGTCCTCCTTTTTAATGAAGCAAGAAGTTAAGTGAATCAGGATTTTTGCCAGGATCAAACATCTGATTTGTGAGGGGTAACCAGAAGTAAACTTTATCCTCTGTTTATTGAGCTCATAACTCACCATCCCTGTCACTATTGGTCTCAGAACACAACTCCAGGGATGCTGCCTGTGTTCTCTAACTGTAATAGGTCCAAGGAAGATGTGATGTCATTTTTGTGTGCAGCAGCTGACGAGATTTTCTGGGATTCAGAAACAGAGTGTTTTTGTGCATGTTGACATAAATAATAGCAGCAGACAGCTTAAATGTGGTGTAGGAATGCTGGAGTTGTTCAGCCGAGAGGAGGATATTGATGTGTGTCACCTAATGAAATCTTCTAACTACCTACTTCACACTATCAGTTCTTTTTTCTTGTGGGGATAATTCAGTGGCTGGAGATACTGAGAGGGGCTTGTAGTAAGTTTTTGTGGAATGTTAGTGGCAGTAGGGGGCCATGGTCACCCACGATGTTTTCTTGGTGGCATATCCGCAGCGGTCACAGGGTTCGGTCTGTCAGCTTTAAGAAGTATGTGGATATGATAATGTATGACCAGGATCCACAAGGACAGGTAGGGTGATGTCAGAAAGTAGATAAAAAATTACTTACCAGGGCACTAAAGCCTCTGCTAAGGTCACGGAGAATAACACAATCAGATCACCTCAACTTCTATAATCTGAATTTATGGTTATCTTGATTCCGAGCTGAAGTATTTTGGGAGCAGAAGGGAAGCTAAATTAATTTGTTAACATGCACCCTTCACTGCTTTATTGTATTGATTAAGAATTTTGCTGTCAGAAGATGTTCTGGTATTGATCACATGACCTGAACAAATGCTACAGCAAAGCAATTAATGAGGTTAATGGGCTCAATTTTCTTCATAGATGGAATTGTGTTTTTTTTTTTTAGAGAATTTTTTTAACCATTGTTTTTCTCTTTAAACTTTTATGATGTCCCTATGAGTTACCATTATCCATTCCATTACAATGCATGCTATAAGCATTCTCTGCTGGACTTGTATGGATTTTTCCCCTTGGCAGATTTAATTCTTGAATTTGAAATGTATCTGTTCAGTGTATCTTAGCAAGGGGTAATCTTGAACACAGAGTATAATTTCTCTTCATGATCATGGAATAAAAATGGGGAGAAAAAAAAAAGTCTAGCGTGCCAAGTTATGTTTTGATGCAGGTTGTGCATCTAGTAGTATTGGCAAGATACACAAAGACGTAAACAATGAGTTGTCCACCCACCATCAAACAAGAGATTATAAAATTCATTTGTCAAGTCATTATACATTCAGAAACATCCTCCTTGTTTTCATGCACATAAACATAATCTTACTTTATAATTTTTTCATAGAATTGTGGCAATAGTTATTATGAATGAATCCCTCATGAATGAAAAAGTGGAAAGCTAGCAAATAAACATTAAGGTTACATACAATTTCACGATATAAAGCATAGAAAGTTTTTATTGTTATACAAGGCTGATAGCTATTGTCTTTTATAGGTTTTTTTGTGTTCTTGTTTACGATTTCTCAATATGGCAAGTTAAGACCAGTCAATGCACAGGAATTTTCCTGACGTGTATTATTTTCCTCCGGGAAATCCCAGATTTTGGGAAGGTGCTAGAAAGAAGGAGAGGTGATGGTAAATTTTTTTTTTTGGCCTTGAGTTGTGTTTAATTCATCCATTATCAAAGGGATCAAATATTTACCATGAGGGTTTACGGATCCGTTATTGAGTGTTGAGGAGGACTCTTGAGCTAATGGCTTTCTGTTAATTATTCATAGGTTTTGTATCTTTCTTCCAAAAATGGCACATAGTACTTCATATTTGTATGATCTATTTTCCACAATTGCGTATTGCATAAGATGTGCCTGGTCTTAAGAGAGGGCAGGAAGTGTTGTCCATGGGCTCAAATCAAGTTCATCCGTTTCCACCTTACCCTCTAGCAAGTCTTGGGAGAGAGAAAAAACCCACATTTTTCAAAAATATAATTCAAATTTGCCAAGCAACGATTCATTCTCTGACTAATAGTTGCAGTGTGCAAAAATAAACAATTTTTAGTAAACACATCTTGGCTTTGTAGCTACCATGAATCAGTGTGTTACTGCACAGGTTTATACTCTTATGCTATGTTGTTTTTTCAGCCCCAAGGATCTGAAGGAGGAGAGTCAGATTATGTAAGTACTCACACCTTTTTTTGGCTTTAGTAGTTGTCTTAATTTAATGGGTAAATTGACATTATGAATTATATGGGTACCTGTATTGCATTCTAGAAGTAATATTTCAAGACTTTTTTTTATAAACAAATTGTAAAAAAAAGTATATATTTTTTGCAGTCCCTTAAACCTTGGGACTGAAAATGATTCTTTAGTACATTGTATTTGATTACATTTTAGATGAATGGGGAACCTGAGTGGGAGTATGAAACCATTCCACTGGAAAGGGTAAGTATGCAGTGTTTATAATGGGGGGGGGGGGGGGGGGGGGAGGGGGATAAATGTAACTGTTCCACTGGGAATTTACCAGTAACTTACAAACTGAGTACTTACTAGATGTTGAAATAGGCAAGGTTATACCAAATCTCCAAGGTAACAAGGTTCACTTTGTTATAACCTTGATCTGTTATAACCATGTGGACTTGGTGACAAAAATGAGGTTTTAGTCTATAACTGTGTTATTAAAGTATTATTTGGGTATTATTTTAAAAGTAGATTGAATTGTAGGTTGTAGTTTTCCTTGGCAAGGCCATCTGTTTTCCCACACAAAAAAACTATTCATAGTGTACGTTTGTTCATTGTTTGCCAACAGCAGAGGCAGATTCAAGGAACTTCTGTTATTCTGTTCTGAAATTGACAAGAAAGATAATTTACTGACATAAAAACACAACAATGCTTGCAATTCATTGCAGTGTAAATGTAACTTTAGGGACAATATTAACATACATATTACTCTTGAGCCTGCAAGTAATCTGGCTTAATAGCCTCTAAGGGTCAGATTATTCTGTATTGGAACTCGCAACATACTTCCTAGGAGTATACTAGTATTTTTAGAAGTTAATATTGATAGGTTCTATTTTGGGGAGGAATTTCGGAAAGGTTCTGTCTATATGTAGATATTGGTAATGATTTTTAGTAACCAATGTCTCAATTTATTTTCAGGGAAATACAGGATTAGGGTTCAGCATTGCAGGAGGGGCTGACAACCCTCACATGGGGGATGACCCCAGTATCTTCATCACGAAGATCATCCCTGGAGGAGCAGCAGCAGAGGATGGAAGACTGAAGTAAGTAAACAAGATCCTGTAATAAACACCTTAGTTGTGCGTATACTGGTCAATTACAATCTTAAAAAAATAGGCTCTACAGTATACTGGTCAATTACAGTTTTAAAAGAAATACTGTATACAGGGTTATTTTTGCCCTTTCACACTTGCATATAATTTTACCCTGTTTTAAATTTCACCCAATCACAGTTCTCTTTAATTTTTAGAATTCGGCCAGTTTTAAATTTACCCATCTGTGTGAGCAGGGCGAAGGGGGCAAAAATAAAATGGGGGTGAAAATTTCCCTGTATCAGTAGACACTACAGTATACAAGTCAGTTTATGGGGACTTGTAATAGACACTCCAGTATCTGGTCAGTTTATCTTGTGAGAGACACTACTGTACATTGGTCAGTTTTCTGGGCCTTGCAATAGACACTACAGTATACTGGTCAGTTTACAGGGCCTTGTAATAAGCACTACAGTATACTGGTCAGTTTGCAGGGCCTTGTAATTGACACTACAGTATACTGGTCAGTTTACAGGGTCTTGCAATAGACACTACAGTATACTGGTCAGTTTGCAGGGCCTTGTAATTGACACTACAGTATACTGGTCAGTTTGCAGGGTCTTGTAATAGACACTACAGTATACTGGTCAGTTTTCTGGGCCTTGCAATAGACACTACAGTATACTGGTCAGTTTGCAGGGCCTTGTAATTGACACTACAGTACACTGGTCAGTTTTCTGGGCCTTGCAATAGACACTACAGTATACTGGTCAGTTTACAGGGCCTTGTAATAAGCACTACAGTATACTGGTCAGTTTGCAGGGCCTTGTAATGGACACTACAGTGTACTGGTCAGTTTGCAGGGCCTTGTAATAGACTATACAGTATACTGTTCAGTTTTCAGGGTCTTGTAATAGACACTACAGTATACTGGTCAGTTTACAGGGCCTTGTAATAGACCTCCAGTAACTGGCCAGTTTACAAAGCCTTGAAATAGACACTCCAGTAACTGGACAGTTTACAGGGCCTTGTAAAAGACACTACAGTATACAGCTCAGATTTTTGGGCCTTGTAATAGACACTACAATATACTGGGCAGTTTAATTTACCTTGTGAAAGACAATACAGTGTATTCATCAGTTTATGGGGCTTTGCAATAGACACTGCAGTACACTGGTCATTTTACCGGGCCTTGTAAAAAACACTGTGATATACTGGAAAGTTTACAATTACTTGTTGTAGCCACTGCAGTATTTTGGTCAGTTTACAATGCTTTGTGATAGATACCACAGTATTCTTGTCAGTTTACAGGGCTTTAGGGTGAATGAATTATAGAAGAGTCATAGCGAATGTCTATTTACACACGTTAATTGTCTGAAAAAATGACATTTTTAATGATAGGCTGCTAGGCAGGCACCATTCATCTTGAATAGCCTAGAAGAAAATGAATTCAAACATAACCGAGCATAAATCTTTGTATTTCATCAACCTATTTAAAACAGAAGACTGAGAGACAAAAAGAGAAGGCTTAAGACACTGACTAATTGTGGAGCAGATAGGATTTACATGGGAAGGTTCAAATAAGTTACATGTATCTTTTAATCTTGTTATTGTAAAGTGATTGCTAGGCTCCCATAGAGTGGACTGACATTTTAACACACTGAAACTGTTCTGTTTTGAAATCACACTGACTACCTAATTCATAGAAATTCTCTGGTTTTCTCCTGTCTGTAAGATTGCATCACTAGAATATGAAATAAAAAAAGAACTGGGGGAACAATTCAGGGAATGATAGAGTTACATAGTAAATCTGTAGCACATATTGCAGCACAGATGCCATTGTTTGATGAGATAAATATTGGATCAGCCTAGTAACTGACTTAATATTCATAGAGGACCAAATGATAAGCTGTAACTTAATATTACATATTTAAAGTTTGTTATATTTTTTGCTGCATAAAATGTTAAGAATTATCATAGAATAAAAAAAAAATATCATAAAGGATTTAGAGAGGATAGTTTTTACTTTGTGTTTACTGTTACATTGTGAAATCTCCAGGTCTTTCCAAAAGTTTTTGAATTTTGTTAATTTTTGTCTTAAATGAGTTGTCATATTAATTTAAGCATGATAGTAAAATAAAGAAGAGACGGATTTATGGAACATGTTCTAGCTTTTCACGGACTTATTCAACACTGGAGTTGTCGAGAGAAATTTAATCATTTTATTCGTATGCATATCTTGTGACATTTTAACCTTTTCTCAAAATTAAGCTTTATATTTCCTGACTTTGTAATAAAATTGAAGCTCAGAGTATATTTAAGGAATATTTCTAGTTCAGTTTTGTAGGATGGGCAAGAAATGTGAGGTCAGGGATAAGGTCAAGGTCACAGAGATACTAAAACAATTCAAATGCAGATCTCACTGAACTATTTGTTTTAAAAGCAATAAAATAGTAGACAGATAGATATGTTTAAGAGAAAAATATATCAAGATTTAAAATTAAAGCCATCAGAAAAAAGAATTAATAGGAAGATCTACTTTCTTGTGCACTTTTCTACACATCTTTATTTGTATATACATTATGCTCTTCTCTTGTTTTTCATTTTATCAAATGTGATCCCTGTGGCAAGGGAGTTGAATGTATAAAAAAAAGTTGATATTGGTAGTGGTGGTAAAGATAACCTAATTAATGAACCAAAAGGAAGTTGTGCGCAGAATCAGTAGCTGGGTCGGATCTCAAAGATAAGCATTAACTATATTGGATTTTGATGTGCAGCCATTTAACTTGCTTTACAGTAAGTTACTAAATCATATTTGTACATTAAAAAATTATGTTCCATTCAGCTTTCTCTTGTTACTCTGTAGTAAGTGGCCTCATTGATGGAACCGATGTGGATTATCCTTATAACTATAGCTGATGCTAAGAGATCGTGGTCAGTGTATGATGCTAAGTTGTTGTAATGCATATCAACATATCAAAAAAAAACTTTTGGGGGGGAAGAATAAATCTATATTTTGTCGTGATTCCAAGTAGAAATTTTAGACTCCATGTATGAGAGATAATTGATTGTGGATGAATTATTTAACAAATCCATTAACTACAAGTATCAGCCTCTAAACTGGCCAATTGTCATCCTTTTATCTTGTTTGCTCGGGTTTGAAGTTTTGTTGACTCAGATTTCATGTTTGGGAATTGTGAGCCTCTCGCCAGACTGCCGAGGGCTGTACTGGTTCCCACTCCTTCATTGTCATCTCTCTGGTCCTTTAGTCTAGGACTGGTGCTCCAGCATCAGGGATTTCCGACTCTCACTGATCTCGAAGATCCCAAATTTTTTAATGAGATAACAAGAAATTATGAATAATCAATACTAATTTTATTTCAGTTCTCTTGTAATCAAGTTACCATAGAAATTGAATTGTCTTCAGATTTTCCATCATGTTCTGGTTTTGAATTATAAAATATTTTGTCAGACTTAATTCTTTTTTAACAGTGTAAAGTATTTTTTATTGTGCATGCATCAGAGTGAGTGAGAGCGGAATGTTCTTTTTTTAAGACCCAAAAAGTGATGTATTATCAGATTCCATGAAGTTGAGACAGTTTCATGTGGGATCCGACAGATAAATCAAGTGTTTGAAGCGGTAGCAATAATTTCCTTTTAAAGCCTGTTTAATATGTCATGTATGCCATAATGAAAGCTCTGATAGCAGTGCTCTGTATCAGTGGCTAAGGACTGATAGATGCTAGGTTGGTTTCCATGGTTTTTTAGCTGCTGTTTCATGTTGCCAGGAAGGCAATTCATTGTATTTAAGAGACCTAATTTTGTCTTTTCTTCTTTCTAAAGTGACAGAATTTTTTTAAAGAATTATTTATTTATTTTGTTGTTATTTTTTATGGGTTTGGATAATCAGTAAAAGTTATTGTTAATGAAGTTAATTTTAAAGTTATCAAAGCAGCTTTGATGTAAAATGTGCATTGTCAATGCACTAGGTAGCTTGTTAAAGTAATGGTACTTTTTATGTATGATTCTAGTTCAGAAATGGAGTAAAAGGAAAAATTCTGGACATCAGAAGTATAATTGTGTATAACAGGAGACATTTCTCTGTGGTGACTGACTACCAATCTAATGATTTTTTTTTTTGTGCTGTACTCCCCCTATCACGTATTTCTATGGAAATCAAGACTAGCGTTAAACTTGACCATAAAGTCTCATTACCATTGGCAGAATTTTCTTAGAGGTGTAAAGCTGACATTTTACATATATGCCTTCTTTGGTGAGGGTGTTAAAATAACAGAGTGGGGTTGGAGCTCTTCTCAATAAAATGGAAGCACTTATCACAGTGATTGGTGTCTGTTTAATTGTCTGATGGCAGTTTCTAGAGAGGTAGCCACCATAATGACGAGGGATTTGTTAGTCCTTATTAATTATTGAAGGCCCTCTGCAGGCAAGGCAAAACACAATAGTGCGGGCTTGTCAATCAGTTAGACTGGATGCTCCCTCTTATAACAACAGAAGGTTGTAGCCTAATAACTCGCATCAATAGACAGATACTGAACGTTTGCTTTAAAAATAAAAAGGAGATTAATCTCATCTATAGATATAGATATATACTTATCAATTTATGGAACATTTATATTTGTCATGCCTGATGAGTTTGTTCTCCATGACGTTTTTCGTGTGGAGGCTTATAAAAAAGAGAAATATGAATTCATATCAATCAATGGAGCCTTCTGTGATGATTAGATGATAAAAGTGTCAAAGAACTTCAGGAATTTCCAGAGGTTTGAGCAAATATTGCATGACAGAAATCTGGCTCTGCTTAAAGTTTTGTTTTGTGCTGTGTGAAATACCTGATGCATGGACTGTCTACAAGAAGTTTTATATTGAAGACATGTAAAAATCAAGCGATTTCTGAATTTGTGACACTGACTGTGAAATTTTATTTGTGAAAAATGAAGTCCAAGAAGATTTTTTTATGTGAGTCTGGACATTTGTATTTTTTGTGACTGATACTACAACCACTTGACATTATGTACATCTTCCCTGGGGATCAAATTTTTACCTGTAACAGTTCTACTGAGCTGTACATAGTTCAGATACACAGGTACATAACTACATATGTATCATAAGTATGTTGAATAGCACTGTATATTTTACTTTTTTTCTTTCTTTTTTTTTTTGAAATTTAGAATCAAGAAATTTGACAAAAATGTTACTGCAAATTTGCAATAAATGTTACTGCAAATTTGCAAGAAATGTTACTGCAAAAAAAAAAGAAGCTAAAAGTTAGAAGACCATTGAATCAGATAAGATGGTAAATATTTAGCTGTTGTGAAATTGCATGACTGGGTTCTGTTAAGACTTTGGTACATGTTTATATTGTTTTCTGTAATCTTTCAATTTGCAAAGTTGCAGGAAAAGTAATTGATATGTACGTGTCGCAACTCTTTTTTGTACATATACCATTCATACTAACATCCAAATTATGAATTAAGAAAAATTTCAAAAAATTCTGTTGTGTTATTTTTTATTTCCAGTCGTAGTTTTAGGTCATGAAGTCTACAAATGAAAAAAAAAAAACAAAACAAAACAAATTGATGAAATACGGGTATTTCAGAGTTGAAGAATGGCAGTAATGTAGATCACTTATTTTTTATCTGGAGGTTGTACAATATTTACATGTTTTTTTTTCCAGAATCAATGACATTATTGTGAAAGTGAATGAAGTAGACGTATCAGAAGCTACACATTCGGAGGCTGTAGATGCTCTCAAACAGGCGGGCACACGAGTCGTTCTGGTAGGTCGTCTCTAGCTTGGCACACGAGTCGTTCTGGTAGGTCATCTCTAGCTCTGAGTGTAATTCACAGTATAACATGGTCATACAAGATCACAATTCTATTGTCTATCAGCTAAGCAAAGTTCAGACCTGCAGGTCTCAAGACCATAAACTTAGAACATATTAAGTCAAAATTTTAAATAAGTATAACTTTCGAAATAATTTTGAAAATAGAACTAAATTTTCATTGTGTTTGTATTTGAATATATATATATATATATATATATATATATATATATATATATATATATATATATATATACAGGTAACTCTCGATGCCTCGAAGTCCGTGGGACCGAGGAAAAACTTCAAGAGATCAAGAGTTCGAGTTTTCAAGAGTCCGGAATTTTCGGGATTGTTGACAGGTTAAAATTAGTCTTACCGGATGTAATGATTTTCATGCAGTGCCAATCTTTTACGCGTGGTTTTTATAAAACAACGATATTTTTTCGTAATTCAGATGAATATATCATTAAACTGAGTAAAGCAAAATTTAAATGTCCATTTAAAGGTGCTTATTATATAATCTTGTATACACATAGCCACTTCGAGGTATCGAGGGTAAATTCTAATAGAATATGCATATCGGGACTGCATTTTGACTTCGAGGGATCAAGGGTTTCGAGAGATCAAGAGTTCGAGAAATCAAGAGTAAATTTGCTTAGTTATATAGTGGAAAAATTCGGGACCGGAGACTCACTTCGAGCGATTAAGAACTTCGAGAGATCGAAGTTCGAGCCATCAAGAGTTACCTGTATATATAAACAAACTTGCAAATTTTGAAATGGTTGTATTTTTCAATACAGTGCGGACTCGTTATTACGATGTTCATTTTGTCACGGTAAAATATCGTAATACCGAGGGCAACGTAATAAAAGTTCCCAATAAAATCCAGTAAAACATCGTTTTGAAAGCTTGTTGTTGTATTAGGAGGTGTATTTTTCTCCTTTTGTTTCCTTCTTCTGTTCAAATTCTTCATTAAAACGCTTTATACATATAATTTATTAATAACTTATCTTGAATAGATATCTTCATGATGCTATTTCTTCTAGTTCCTTCATTTTAAAAGAAATGTGCACATTTTTTATAAAAACTTAGGCAATCTTCATTTATCTGCCGCCATTTCCTTTTACTTTTACTTTCGTTTCTATCTAGATAATGCGTTCGTAAAATTTTCAATGTCTTCGTATCGTTACTACATAAATAACAACAATGGGCGGTTTTGGGTGTTCAATGAGCTTAGAGCTGCAGTGAACAACTGATGAAAGTGGGCAGTGTGATAGGCATATTCCTGGACAGGATCTGAGAACACACAAGCTAAATGTCAAAATAAATTTGAATTTTTAAATTACTGAACAGATTTCAATTAGCAGTTCAGCAATTATCGATTTGTATTTCTGTTGACACCTGTGAGGTAGTCCAAGCCACTATCCAAGCTGTTAAAACGTTAGTGGAGTTCAAATTTTGCCAAAATTATGTTTGATACCCAAGCTGTCAATTCCCTCTGTTTAACTGCAAACGAAATTACACATTACATATTTAACATACATGCATACGATTAAATGTAACCCTTTATTTAATAAATTAATTTTACTTATTAACCATAGAAAAAAAAAAAAATAAAATAAACTTTACAGAGATAGATAAACTAGAGACTACATTTATAAATAAACAGTTTAAGGACATACGCAACGTACCTTACCTACTGATAATTTTTCAAGATATTCTTAATTTAAGATTATAGTGCCATCAGATGTTCGTCGACAAAAAATCAGCATGCATTACCAGAGGTTTTGAAAAGATATCAATTGATGAAAATTATTGTATTATTTAAAGAAAAATACACAAAAATTACTAAACATATATTCTAGATGTTTTTTTTATCCAAACTTGTTTTGGAAGAAGTGTACAACAGCATATATAGACATAGAAATGTAGCACACAATTCCTTTAAGTAGTGGAACTCTTCAACTCCAAGGAAGAAGACAATAAAGTGCAAACTACGTTGCGCATGTCCTTAATTGTTTATCAATGGCTTTGACACGTCTCCAATTCCGCTAGAACAGTCAAGGTGTGTGCAGTCAAGCGTCACTAATCACCTAACGGCCCTGCAAGTTAACACTCTGTCAGAGCACAGGTGTTTCAATGTTTATTTAGCGTCTCCTTAATTGTCTACAGTCGATCAACACTGAATAAACACGGGGTGAAAAAAAATTTTGGACAGAATTTTTACATCGTAATACCGAGTCCCAGCATTTTAGGACATCGTAATAAACAGTTCTATTTTGTATAGATTTGTTAAGAAATGGTCTTGTGCTTTGAATTTACAACGTAATAAGCGTTCTATCTTATAAAACCGTCACCGTAATAACGAGTCCGCACTGTATACAGTTTTTAAAAATCAAAATCTAAATTTTGACTTTCAAGTCTGTTTTCAGTTTGTGATCTTGGGGGCTAGAAGCAAAACAACTTCAATACACGTAGGAGAAAAAGGAAATCCCATGAAATTGGCTTCTTAATCTAGGGATCTGACATGGTTTATTGTAATGTACAGAATACACATTATCAGGTTATTGTAGATCAAAAAAAAAGGACAAGTGCTTATTGTAATGGAGATTGTTACAGTAAAACTCAGTTGAAGTAAAGTCCTGGGGACTTCTATATCTGTAATTTGTTTTATCTGTATAATGAATTCATAAAGGTATATAATTTAGTGAATTCACAAATAAACATGTTTGCTGTTTAATAAATTTCAAATATAAATCCGTACTTATGAAAAAAGTGTCAGTTCAATATTCTAATTTTTTTAACTCTATTGGATGCAAAATAATAAATTTGCTATATACGTAAGTTTGTTTCATCAGAATTTGTTATAGCTAAAATTTTATAACAGATTGTAAAGAATGTTGCCGAAGACCAAAAAAAAAAAAATTGGCTATCACCCATAAATTTGCTATTATCATACATATGATTATAAAACTAGTTTTACTATGTATCCTCAATTCTCATTATATCGCGGGTTTCCTTGTATCGCGGTATTTCCCAAAAATTAGGATACATAGCCCAATTCCTTACAAACTCCACTAAATAATGCAAAGCTTTCTACTGATGAGACCAACACTTCACATTTCAAAGTATTTCTTTGAGGAAACACCCTTATAGCCAAACAAGTATTAGACTATCAGACTTCATCACAGGTATAAACATTTGATGTCATGCTTTGTGAATGACTTCATATTTCATGCTTACAGTTTAAATTTCAAATTAGGTAATTGAGAACTAAAGTAGATACAGACATGTAAGTATTATAACCAGTCAGAATTCAGGAAATATCCCAATATTCCTTGCATTCTTATTTGATGATGTCATATAGACCCATAATGTGTACGTTCATTCTAAATCTTGTCTTGTTTCAATGACATGTAATAAAGTTGTGGTCATTTTAAAATTAATTAAGCCAGTCATATTTGAGTTCATGTGTTTTTTTTTTCTAATACATTACTTGATAGTGCCTTGTGATATGTGCATATACATATAACAAATAAGTTGTATAGATTTTTGCATTAGCCAGTCAGAACCAAGGATATGTGTACTTGCATGTTAATTCAATGAAACCTTTTCATACAGACTTCATCTTTATACATATTTTAAAATATGAGAGCAAAATCGAATTTTAAACAACTAAAGGCATTGTGTTTTACAAATGCATTTGTTTTAAGCTATACCATACAATTCTAATAAAAAGAAAGTCTGTTTGCCCACTCTATAGTAGAAATGGCTTGAGGAGGTCTCTTTTTTCATAATTTCTTTCATATAATTTTTTTTGTTTTTCTTTTATTGCCAGTTTAAAACCAGAGGGCAGAAAAAAATAATGGAGCTAGGGCATAAATTGCACATTACCGAACTAATGAAATGGATTCATGTTTTGGTTTATTGTTGTTTGATCATCATTCAGATTTATATGAAGAGTTGCAGCACCATTATATGTTCACTGTACTCTGTGCCATTCAATATATATTTGTCATTTTCCAAGCATGAATGCAAAACAGAATGGATTATCAAGGGTAAACTGTGTCACATTGCTTTGTTACCTTTAGGCAAGTTTCTCTTGTTTTCAGTTTACTGAAAGGTTGATGAGGTTGTCTGTAATGTAAAATGCTGCATAATGATGTTATACAGGCAAGGCTGTATTGATGTGTCTTTATTTAAGCTTGTTTATTATACCCCACTTGATGACAAGGTTGAATCATGTAATGGATATTGGTAATGATTTGGTAAAAATTGGAACTTAAAGGGACTTCATGTAAAATGGGAGATAATTTGATAAAACCGATGAAACAAGTTGCTGATTTGCTTAATTTGATATAAATGATTTTAAAAAATGGCAGAGAATAAATTACCATTGAAAAATAAGAGGACATTGGACTTTTTTGATAATGAGTTCCATTTCTTTATTAAATTTTCTGGTATTACAATAAATATAGAATTTATTCATTAATGTATACGGTAATTTTTGCCCCATCTTATTTTTGCCCTTTCACACCTGCAAACAATTTTGCTCCATTTAGAATTCGCCCAGACACAGTTCTGTTTAAGTGATAATGCTTTTATCTCTGAATTCACCCATTTTAAATTTGCCCAATTGCGACGAGGGTGAAAGGGGCGAAAATAAAATGGGAGCGAAAATTTATATTCAAACTGTTTTGAACCTTGATCTTAGCCTGGTGTCATACCTCCCTATGTGCCAGCATTGAAAAAGGATAGAAATTAGGTAAAGGGTGTCTTTTTAGGGTCACTCAGTTGACCTATCGCAATCCAGTTCATGCTTTGACCTTCTTGTGTAATTTTTTTCTTCTCAATTTTGACTTCTCAGGAGAAAAATTCGGCTAATTTCTGTCATACTATTGCATGATGAGAATTCAAGTTCATTCAAACAGAGAGCAAGGTCCCTTTTCAAAGGGAGTCTGTTATGCAGATAGGATGGGATCATTTTAAAAATCATCTCCATAAGAAAAACCAAACATGAAAAAATGAAACTTGAGTGGAATCTTTGCTATGTAGTGAAAATTTGATTTATTCAGTCCATATAGCCCATGGGGCTAGCTCAGGACTACAAAAGGGGCCCAAAGATTTATAAGAAAAGGCTTTCAAGTGTTTTAAGAACTACAACATGTACAAGCTAAGGTACACAATTTCAAACTTATGTGGAAACAATCTATTATATAGATTCCATTTTGTTCACACCAAGACCCATAGGGCAGGGATGAGGCTGCAATGGCCCAGTGTTCAAAGTTTTTAAGAAAATATATGTATATTAGGATGGGAAAAAAATTCTTTAAAATTTTTCTTCTCAAGAATGACAAGTCTACAAATTGTCACATTTGCATTTTGTAGTGTCAATTCAAGTTTGTACATTCCATGGCCTTGTGGGGCAATGAGTTTGGGAATTTGGGACTCCAATTTGTCTAATTTATATGCAAGCATCTATATGTAGTCAGATTCAGGTTTCTAGAAATCATGGTCCCAGGGGCAGGGATAAGTGATTAGAAATTATTGTTCATCTATATCTGTAGTGTGAATTTTTGAGAGTTTGTCAAATCTAAATGCATCATATATGGCTATTCGATTACACCAGAAATTTTAGGAGAGTAGAATGTTTTATTTGATAATATGGAAAATGTATTGAGTTTATAACTAGATCTATATGTTTGTTATTTCTATCTTTCAGCATGTGAAGAGGTTAAAGGCACCTACAGAGAATATTCAAGAGATACAGCTTATCAAATCAAATAAGGGTTGGTATCTTTTGTTGCAGGACTCAAAATGCCTACAATCACTATCAAATATTGATATATTTATTTATGTAGATTATTAAAAGCCAAAATTGCTTTGTAAATAGCTTTAAGATGTCACTCAGGATGCAAAATTGTGATTAAAGTTGTAACATTAAATAATCTTGTGTGTATTTTCAGAAAATCTCCTACAATACCAGTGGTAAAGAAGTCCATTATTAAAACATTTATGAACCTCCACTTGAAATAAATAACAAAATTAACCCCTTTCCAGCCTCTTTAACCCACATCTTAGCATGGTCCTGTACTGCATGATATTTCTCTTCTGCTTCAGGTCTAGGGTTCAGTATAGCGGGGGGCATCGGAAATCAACACATTCCAGGTGACAATGGGATATTTGTCACCAAAATCATTGAGGGAGGGGCAGCAGAACAGGATGGCAGATTGGCTGTGGGGGACAGGCTCATTGCAGTAAGTTTGAATATACAAAATGTTGTATTTTAAATAAGCTCATTACTGAAATCCAATCATGTAAAATAAAACAAAATTTATTTTATTACAAACTTATTACTGCTATAGTTGTTCAGGAAAAGGAAAGCTAGCTTACAAACTACAGTTAGTTTGACCTTTAATTGTAAAACTAATCGACAAACAATAAGAGAAAAAAACAATGTTTCATTAGGTGAATGACACAAACCTTGATAATGTGACACATGAAGAAGCAGTGGCTGCACTGAAGGCTACACAGGAAGTGGTCAACTTGACCATCGCCAAACCATCTTATATACCAGACAATGTCAGTCAGGACCAGGCCACTCCACCATGTAAGTTTGCCTTGGACGGTTGGATATAAAATATATGCCTCAAAGAGTTATGCTGTAAGCCTAAATTTTATTTAAATGTAATAAGAATTGTTGCTGCCTCTGCCTTTCAAATGATTGTTGCTTTGAAGAAGTGTATCTGATAATTCCTATATATACATGTAGTTAATGCACTTTTACATGTTTGTTTGGAGTCCACTGGTTACAGATTAACAAGGAAATTGGGAATTACAAAAGATTAAATAAAATAAACAATTAAAGGAGTAAATATTCTTGCTGCTGTCTGCAATTGGTTTAAAATTCTTGGAGCAGGCCAATTTTTCAAGTAACCATAATCCCTATCTGGACCAAATTTACATGGATGATGCATCTTTGAATGCATACTACCAGACTAGATGCTGCATCTAACCTTTTTTTCTAGAAGAGTAGCCAGGTTCTATATATTTTTTGGAGCAGGTCATTTCCCAATTAACAATGAGCCTTATTGAGGTAGAATTGCAGTATATGTTTAACAATGGTTTCACACCTTTGTTGACTGTAAGAAATTAGTAATGTATATGTTGAAAATGTAATATATATGTTTTATAATGTATAAGAATATTTCAGTGTATGTTTTACATGTGAATATTAATACAGTCCCTGAAACGTTCTACTTTCCCACTTGAACAGTGAGCGAACGCAGAACGAACGGTGAACGAACGCAGAGCGAACGGTGAGTGAACGATGTGTGAACGCTGAACGCAACTTGGTGAACGATATGTGAACGCTGAACGGTAAGCGAACGCAGAACGCGAACGGAGCGCGAGCGCAAAGTGAACGGTGAACGAACGGTGAACGCAAGATGAACGATTTATTCGGAATGCCTCTGACCTTTTCCTTGCATTGTAACTATTCTATTGTATTCGAATGCCTGGTTCTGAAGAAAAATAAATAAGAAATAAATAAATAAACAAATCAATGAAAATTGTCCTAAGAAAGATGATACATGCACATTAAGTAAAATTATTAATTTAAGTTTCTTACAATATTTTCTGCACATATGTACGATGTTTAAATTCAACTTTTTGATGACACGATTTTTATCGCTGTAAAACATTGTAATTCTTACCGAACGCTGTAGTATAACAGTTGAAATTCATCTAGTTGTAAAATAAATATGTTCATTCTTATTTGATATAAAAAACCATTACAAATAATGTGGATTTTAGAAGAGAAAACTACGGACTTATAGAATGAATTACAACGGTTGTAACAGCCATACAAGGCGATTCCGTGTAAAATAATGAGAAAAAAAATATTTTACAAAGGTATGTGGACGTATTGCATAAATACACTCGTAGTTTAAAATTTTAATGCAATAATAAACTTATGTGTCAGTTTTATTTTTTATGATGATTTATTGAGCAGACTTCTACATCTATCTGTAGACATTTCCCAGCCGTGATTATACTCGGACAAGATGATACAAAGAGGCAATCGTATTATTTGTTATATATTAAATTTTCAGAACTTGATATTTAAGTAATATGCTGTCATAGTTTTATTAAATAGACAAATGAGAGAGAGAGAGAGAGAGAGAGATTAGGTTTTAGCCCCCCTCCCTTCCTCAAATGTTTGTACCTATATCAAACAAAAATTCTAAATTTTTTCTAAATATATCAGGCAGTGACAGCATTTTTTTTTATCAACAAATCCATTCGTTTTACAGTCATAATCGGTTTATATTTTCCTGCTTCAAGTTCACACGAAGTCCACGTGCTTGACCTGTCAATCAAAATCATTCGACACTGTGCAGGTGTGAAAATCTCGTCACACCGAAGGCAAAGTGTTAGTATTTCCAAGAAGTTTTACTGAACATTTTTCTTATTATTTCTAGATCTGATTCCAACATTTCTAAAAAATAAATAAATGAATAAAATACATTGGGAATAAATACTTGGAATAATTAAGCCGCTTGAATTTGAAACATACTCCCTGCCAATTTAAAATATCACCGCCGGCACATGTATATTTTGAACTACTATTGTTTAATGACGCTGTTTAGATGCCTGTTTGTTTTGAGACTGAAAGAACGAGGGCGCTTTTGATTGGCATTCGGCAGGAATCTGGGCGCACTTGAAAAGTGAAAATTTCATTGACCTGTCACATGAAATTTTAGCATCCTTTGATGTATCAGGTTCCTGTGCAATAGGAATGGGACATATTTTCCCGATATTGTATTTTGATTTGCTAAAAAAGAACTTGAAAATTGGCTAGATGAGGCATTTGGTACAAAATGTTACATTTTTAAACACGTTTTTCTAAAAATTTGCTATATCTGGGTCATCTCTCCATGATTTTGAAACGTTATTTGTGTGCATTTTAATTCAAAGAAACTAACAAACATTTGTAAAATATGGAGAGAAGACCCAGAGACAATAAAAAATGAACTTTTTCCAAAAAAATTCCAGTGTGTAAATGCGGCGCTTCATTGTCACTTTAAAAACCATAAAGTGTATGTAGCGGTGATAGCTCAGTAGTATTCGTCACCCGTCCAGTGCAATGAAAAGTAATAGTTTTTGGTTCGATCCTCGCATGGAGCGGTAATATTTTTTTTAGTGCAAACAATCAATTCTTTTGTCAGTTTAATTTTATGTACTGATTTATTTTCAAATAGATAAATTCTGGTTCTGTTGCACCCAAAGCGAAAGCAATTCTTCCAACCTACTGATACTTTAATATATGCATGTACTTGTAATTACATTCAACAATACCCTATAGGTGTTTAGTATTTATGTGAAGCGTTACTAAGTTTTACATGTATTAATTATTAAGATAAGCGGACTGATGTGTTAAATTTGACAAAGTATTTCAAACTAAATGTAACATTTTCCCATGTGCGTAACTTTGTAAAGTATGACCAGCTGTGGTCAGTCGACCAAATCGTAGACATTTAAACTATAAATGTTTCGTACGCCTTATTCCTGCAGATCACACGCCAGACACGCCCATCTTCTTTTTGTGCTACAAAACACATTAACTTCTTCTTAAATGTTAATTAAAATGTACTGGATATACTAACTAAGGAACCGATTTAGGGGAAAGGGGGGGGGGAGCTCTTAATAATATTGAATGACAAACATATAAAGTTACGGTGAAAAATATCATTACTTGAGAATCACCTTGGTTATTTAAATGATAATCATGTTATAAAGGCATTTCTCTCTCTCTAATTAAAGACTTTATATATGTAAAGTAGAAAAAAATTCTCTAATGTATAACATTTTAAACAAATATTTTTTTTTTAACCACACTATCAATTTAATTTGCTCTAAGGATATTTAATTACTTGGATATCCGCAGTACTGTTTATCATTCTCAGAACAAGTTCTTACATGTATTTCTGTATTATTTGAAAAAAAAAATGTGATGGAAATAAATATTTTCGTATTTTTGCTGCAGTTGGTAAATTAATTGACTTCGATTATTGTCTATCCATTAATGATTTGTCGTCTTTAACATAACAACAAAATGTTGCAGTGCTTAAACTTGAAGTATCACTATTTTGCCCGTATTTAAATTTAATTTTTCAGCATTGTTCTACATAGGTACATACATGCACTTATAACGACATTTATTTTCCAGATAAATTTTATAAATAACCTAACAGCTAAGTTAGAATAATAAAAATAAATATTGTAGATAATTTTTTTTCCCATGAAATAATGATTCTTTAAACACGGTATGTTATTTATTAAATTCAAAACCTGTAAATCCTTACTTATTTACTGGACTTTGCCTCACTAAAATATGATACTTGCCTTGTAATTCATTTCTTCACTTAATTGTGACAATAAAATATGTTGAGACCAAGGTTATATCTTTGATGGGTTTTTTTCCCCAGCTGCCAGAAAATTAGAAAATGTTGCTGTTGTTGCACCAACCTCTAGTCCAGACAGGCCCACAAATGTATCACACCACTCGGAAAACACCTACGCCAATGAAGATCCTGGAAGGTAAGGTTTACAGAGTATACTGATACACCACAAATTTATCACGCCATACTTAAAGACCCGAAAAATGTATCACACTATACTGATAGATCCATAGTTGAAACATACCATACTGGTAGACCTGAAAAATGTGTCAGAAAACACCTACGTCAATGAAGATCATGGAAGATAAGGTTTACAGATTATACTGATACACTCACAAGTGTATCACAATATACTGATAGACCCACAAATGTATCGCATCATAGGTAGACCTACATATGTGTTACATTATACTGATAGACCCACAAATACACCATACTTTACTGGAAGACCCTCAAATGATAGACCCAATAATGAATCACACCATACTGATAGACCCGGAAATTGTATCACAAAACACCTATGCAATTGAAAATCCTGGAAGGTAAGGTTTACAACTTATACCATACTGATAGACCCACATATGTATAACCGTACTGATCAAGCCACAAATATATCACATCATACTGGTAGACCCACAAATGTATTATGCCATACTGGTAGATCCACAAATGTATCACACCATACTGGTAGACCTATAAATGTATCACACTGTGCTGATAGATCCACAAATGTATCACATCATACTGGTATAGCAACAAATGTGTCATACCATACTGGTACACTCATAAATGTAACAAATTATACTGATAGATCCACAAATTGACAAATGTATCACACCATACTGATATAACCACAAATGTATCACACAATACTAATAGATCCAGAAATGTATCACACCATACTGATAGATCCACAAATACATCACACCATACTGATAGATCCACAAATGCATCACATTGTACTGGTAGATCCATAAATGTATCACACCATACTGATAGATCCACACATGTATCACATCATACTGGTACACTCAGAAATGTAAATTAAACTGATAGATCCACAAATTGACAAATGTATCACACCATACTGGTATAACCACAAATGTTTCACACCATACTGATAGATCCACAAATGTATCAAACAATACTGATAGATCCACAAATGTATCATACAATACTGATAAATCCACAAATGTATCATACAATACTGGTATAACCACAAATGTATCATACAATACTGATAGATCCACAAATGTATCATACAATACTGATAGATCCACAAATGTATTACACCATACTGGTATAACTACAAATGTATCACACCATACTGGTATAGCCACAAATGTATCACAAAATACTGATAGATCCACAAATGTATCACACAATACTGGTATAACCACAAATGTATCATACAATACTGATAGATCCACAAATGTATCACACCATACTGATAGATCCACAAATGTATCACACAGTACTGATAGATCCACAAATATATCATACAATACTGATAGATCCACAGATGTATCACACAATACTGATAGATCCACAGATGTATCACACAATACTGATAGATCCACAGATGTATCACACCATATTAATAGATCTACAAATGTATCACACCATACTGATAGATCCACAAATGTATCACACCATACTGATAGATCCACAGATGTATCATACAATACTGATAGATCCACATATATATCATACAATACTGATAGATCCACAAATGTATCACATTGTACTGGTAGATCCACAAATGTATCACATCATACTGATAGATCCACAAATGTATCACACAGTACTGATAGATCCACAAATGTATCATACAATACTGATAGATCCACAGATGTATCATACAATACTGATAGATCCACAGATGTATCATACAATACTGGTATAACCACAAATGTATCACACCATACTGGTAGATCTACAAATGTATTGCACCATACTGATAGATCCACAAATGTATCACACAGTACTGATAGATTCACAAATATATCATACAATACTGATAGATCCACAAATGTATCACATAGTACTGATAGATCCACAGATGTATCACACCATATTAATAGATCCACAAATGTATCGCACCATACTGATAGATCCACAAATGTATCACTTCATTTGGAAAACACCTACACCAATGAAGTTCTTGAAAGATAAGGACCACAAATGAGATTACACTGATTGATGCATAGCATTCAGAAGACAGCTTCACAAATTAGGATTTAGAAACTCTTGAAAGCTTTTATGACAATACCTACATAAAAAATTTATACAATGTCCCATATAAATGTATAACATAAGCAGACTGACACACAAAATGTCTTATGGAATTACAGAATGTTATGACCTTCAGTAAAGATGATGATAAGAACAACAACAAAGTTAACCAAGTAAAAATGTGATTCTTGTCCAGATCTTCAGCTAAGCTGTAGCATGGGATTATAAAAATGAAGAATTAGGGCTGTGAATTGACCAAAATATTTCGACATGATACAATACTACATTTTATCATGTTTATAAAGCAATATGCGATATATTGGATTCTATAACAAGTCTATCAGAAAGGTCTTGTAAATCATTTAATGCATAAATTTGAAAAAAAAATTGGGTGTTTTATTACCAAATTGGAAGTTCATGTCTCACTATCTTTACAAAGTACACTTCAAATTCAAACTTTTAATGACTGTAAAACTAATATGTTAAAACATAATCATCATGGTTCCTTTTGGTTCCTGGTGGAACATAGGGCCTCAGCAACAGTCCTCTAGCGCACTCTGTTTTGAGCAGCTTTCTCAGTTGTTCCCAGCCCTGTCCACACTGTCTGATTTCCTCTTCGCATGACCTTCGCCAAGTTGTCCTGGGAGGCCCAACCCAACGTTTGCCTTTGGGGTTCCACTTGAGAGCATGGCATGTAATGTCTCCTGATGGTTTTCTGAGGGTATGTCCAATCCACCACCACTTTCTACGGGCTATTTGCTGAGTGATCGGGTCTTGATTTGTTGCTTTCCACACACAGGCTCTTATTGCTTATCTTTTCTGGCCACCTGATGTTTAGTATGTGTTAAAACATATTTGTCTATGTATTTTGCAATAGTTCATTAAGATGTGCTATCTCCTTAATGTTTATTTCATTATTGACCAGTTTTAATTAAAACCAGTTAAAAATTCTCTTTGGTGACTGAAATTCCCAACTTTTTCACAGAATGATAAGAAAAACTGTCCGCCCGATGCGTATTCGAAGTTATTTGTCGAATACGATACATTCCTGAATATCGATGCATGTTGATTAATCTATATATTGACACAGCCCTATGAAGAATTTGAAATTGCTAATGGAACTGTTGTAAACATATTTTTTTCCACAGGGTCGTAATTCTGCAGAATTACAACTTCTGTTCAATCCTATGGTAGAAAATTACTAAATTTCTTGGATTGCCATCAAGTATCTTAAATGCACTTTAAGCATGCTGTGACAGATTACCACAGAAAACTTGTGACCATATACATAGGATAAATTAATCCCACACAAAAAAAGTACATCTACAGTAATTCTGAAAGATGTAAGCTATGACATGATTTTATATACTGATAAAATGTTTCTGTGCTAGGTTCAATTTCTTATCGTCTGTCATCATGGCTTCAGTCAGTACTAGATTTAGTCAAGGCTTGTTGGACAAGTCTCTCAATGGCATTCTTGTGTAACTCAGTCTTGGATATTTCATGCTAGCAGTAATTATCAATAAGAGAACACTAAGATTAATGGAAACATGCTTAACACCCAACCAAGATTTTTAAAAAAAAATGATCTTGGTATTTCAATGGCACTCTACATAACATCCATTCCTTCTATCTCATATGCATCATTTTTCATGGTAACATATTTCATGTCCAGCAAAACAGCAGGAATGAAGCTGGTCAGGTCAAAACTTTGCCAGTATCTTGTTGGATTAGCTTGTGTTCATTTTCGTAGCTTCTCTGCCTTCAAAATTTAACTATGATATGTGGACAAGTAAATCACATTAAAACAATATAGAGGTGAAATGGAGATGAACATTCATTTTTCAATTTGTAAAGACATTATCTCAGAACATTTAGTTTATTATTTTTTTTATTATTATAACAATGAGAAAGAGGTTTTTTTTCTGTTCAATCATGTTCAATTTGTCATTAATTTGCTGTTGCTTTTTTGTTTTTAAATTATCAGTTATTTCCATGCTAAAAAAAAAAGAAGAAAGAAATTCTAGTATATAGAAAAAATAAATATATCCTGGCCTCAGATAAATGTTTATGATGCTGGATTTAACTTTCCTTAATTTGTAGCATGTTCATGTCAGACAAGCTTTTTAAGAAAGCTAATACTTGAGCTTAGTTTTGGTATCAGTCAGGCAAAGGAAGATAACTCATATTTTCTTGCATCAAAACTAATATCTGGAGAAGATATGATTTAAATTTTTTTTATTGTAATTTTTTATTAGATTTTTTTGTGTTCTAGTTTGACATTTGCCATTTGATAATTGCTTTAATATTTCAATAACTGGGAGAAAAAAACCCTGCAACAGTCATTTAAGCTCCCATATTGATGAAATTCTTCAGTGTATAATTTGTCTAATTAATTAGAACTGTAGACAAGACTGTAAGGTTGACATATTTTGCATGCCACAAGCTTGTATTTTGTTAAACTTTAAATCTTTATACAAATTATGTAAAGACACATTTAATATATATTTTTAAAAAAATGAACGCCCTCATTTTATTTTGTCTGTTGAAAAAAAATCCTAATACAATTGAGAAGTTATGAAAAGACATAAATATTGGAATTCATATGGATTATTTTTTTAAATCTCCAATATGAAGACAGGATGTGGATTTATTGTTACACATATGAAGATAATATATCAACTTTGAAGATATTCTCTGTATGAGGTACACATACATGTATAAGTTTCACAACCTATAACGAGATTAAATTTGTGTTAATACTGTATAGGGGATTAATTTCACGGGTTGTAATTTTCACATTTTTCTCTCCTCGGACACGATCGCGGTTTGTTGAATTCGCGGAATCGGTATATAATAAGAGTTATTTCCCTTGTCTTTATACGCGTAATCCATAGTATAGCT